GCTCTCCTGTGCTGGGGAAGTCCCTTCACTTCGAGGCCAGCTTACCTTCCATTATGGGCTTTTGACAAAGTAGAGTGACCTTAGCTGACGACGTAGCGAAATATCACAGATTTCCCTGGAGTCACATGCGGTCATTTGTCATAAAGCAAGGGCTTTAAGGACAAGGAGGGCTGGCCCAGCAAGGGCTGTAGGTCTCCCTGCTCCCCCTGGCCTGACCCCCCATGGCAGAATGCTGGAGGCATCTCTCAGGACCTTGTTGCTCTGCCCCTGAGGAGGGGTACAGAAAGCAGGCACCCCCGTGTGCTGATGGGGGAGCAGGGCGAGCTGGGCTTCAAAGCCCTAGGACTTGGAGGTGAGCTCTGGTGACGCCCCACAATCTTGGACAAGTTACTCCTGCCTCTGATGGCTACCACTTTGCTGCCAGCAAACCTCCCCGTAGGAGGAGGTGCAGAGCATCAGGGTTCGCCCGTTGGGTGCCCCCGAGTCCAGGGCGGCTCCTAGTGACCTGACATGTCACGTGGAACTGCGGTCCCAGCTGCAACCTCCATGGGAGCAGGTCACCAGGCCTCTCCTCTGCAGAGAGCTGCGGGCGATGTCGAAGCACCTGGCCTGTGGTTAGTAATTTAGTGCTTAACCATTGGGCTACCAGCGATCTTAGGCTAAGCCTAGTGGCTTTGAGCTTAGAGTGACCTGGATTTGAAACTTGGAGTGGGGGACCGGTCCTGTGTGACCTCAAGCATGTCATTCACTTTTCGGTTTCCTCATCTCTAAGACAAAGGGATCCCTGAAGACCCAGACCCACTGTCGTCAAGTGGATTCTAACTCAGGGTTTCCAAGGCTGCGAAGCTTTCCAGGAACCAGCCGACAGCCTCATCTCTTTCCTGAGGAGTGGCTGGTGGGTTTGAACTACCAACCTGGTCAACCAACTATCAACCTTGTCAACCGACTACCAACCAGCCTAGCCCACAGTGCAAGATACTTAACAGAAAATAAAACAAAGAGACTAAGAAAGGAAGCACAACGAGAGAAAACTGAAAGTGGGCCTCACCGGGGCCCCTGCATCATCGGGTTGCTGCCAGAATGGGCTGCCATCCCTGCGGGCCAGAGTGAGGGCTCAGCACCGGAGGCCGAGTCAGGCTGAGAGCCAGGCTGCTGGCCCTCAGCGAGGAGTGACGTCTGCCCGAGGCCCAGCTGCCTCTTCTGTGGACGGAGGGCTTGCTCCTGGGCCCTCCCGGGGATGGCCTTCCAGGCTCTTCTCCAGCAAAAGGCTTCTGTGTGCGGGAGGTGGAGGGACTCTCTGGGACTCTCAGAGTCAGACTCCGAGCGCCCTGGCGGACCCTGCTTCTCCTCTCCAGGTGGGCAGAGCCTGGCCCACGGCGCCGGGTGCAGTCTGGCTGGGTTGGGTGCTGGCAGTGAGCACCGACATCCTCCTAGGTGCCAGCTGCTGTCCAGGGTTGCTCCACGGGCTCCTCCCGCCCAGCATCCGAGGCTCCAAGGGAAACCCACGGTTATTCTGCACAATGTCCCCCCTCCCAGTGCCCCCCACCCCATCCCCGATGCTGAGGCAGGAGTGCTTCTGCACAGTTCGCAGAAGGGGCTTGGCTTAGAAAACGCCGAGCTGGTAATACTGTCTGCATCCCGACAGTGAGATCCCATCATTGATTTTTCCTTATTGTGTTCCCTCATATTTGAAGCCGCCATGCATTTAAAGTCCTTATTGAGTGGCATCCTCTATATAGCGTAACACAAATATCATTCGAAGGGGGCGGATTGATTTTCAATATTTTCACATGGTTTCTCCCTGTGCCGTAGGATCAGTTACAAGACAGCGTATCGGCGAGGCCTGCGCACCATGTACCGACGCAGGTCCCAGTGCTGCCCCGGCTACTACGAGAGCGGAGACTTCTGCATCCGTAAGTACGGCTGCCAGGCTGCCGCTGTTCTGGCTGCAGTGGGGCCTGGGGGGCAGGGGAGGGGAGAGAGCAGGCTGGTCTGTCTCATGACCCCTGGGGCGCAGGCCTCAGCCAACCTCAGGGCCCCAACATCCCTGCCTGTAGCCAGTGCTCAGAGGGTCGGTGCAAGTGCTCTGACACAGATCTGTGCATCAGGCCAGCTCCTCTCAGGATGGATGGAGACAGCTCAGCTCTAGACTTTGATGGGGGCAGGGGAGAAGGGCCACTTGTGGTGCAGGTGCTCGGCGGGGCAGGAGGGGGCAGCGCCGAGGCTCTGGCGCGGGACTGAGCCAGGGTAGGTGCTCAAGAAGGGTTTGGTGGCAGGAGAGGAGGCGAGATAGAGCAAAGGATGGAGCCTTGGATAGAGGGGTGAGCGGGAATGGGGAAGGAAGGATGGACGAATGGTTGGAGATCAAGACCATGGTACCTGGGAAGAGAACCACAGCGGAAGGGGTCCTAAGGGACAGATTCCAGAAGGTGGGGGACTCTCAAAACCGCCTGGGGAGCCCTGCAGAGAAGTGGATCCATGAAGGGCAAGTGTTGCCTCCCTCCCTGTTTGTCGCCAACACTCGGGAAGCAGAAGCCCCCATGTCCCCAGAGACTCGGGAGTGGGCGAGGGGTACACTGCAGAGACCCAGGAGCAGCCTGCAGATCTGGGGTGTGGTCACTTTCCCTCTTCCCTCTGTCCATTGGAAAGGGGTTCTGCCTCCAGGAGAGCAGAGGGACGCTGGGGCGCTCGTTTGATGACTGACAGGAGAGCCCACCCCATGCGCCCATGCGCCCTCCTCATCTTCTGGGGCCTGTGTCTCCTCATTAGTATTCCCCCTGCCACTCAGGCGGGAGAGCGCGTGAGCGCCGGAGAGCGCGTTTGGGCAGAGTGGGCGTGTTGATGTTGGGAACGAAATGACAATTTTCCCTGACTGTTGTTACATCTCCCCTAATGCTGGAGAAACTCGATCCTAATTACATTACAGGAATGAATGAAAAATGCTCCTGCACATGTGTTCAATAGCAATGGCTTTACAGCAAGAACACTAAGACTGCCCCCAAAGCAAGCCCTAATGGCTGCTCCTGAGCAGCAGGGCAGAGCAGGGGCTGGGGCCAGGCACTGGCCAGCGAAGCATGGGGGGTGAGGGTGATTAAGTTACTCGGTGTAGACTAGGAGCCCTGGAGGCACAGTGGGCTATGTGTTGGGCTGCTAACTGCAAGCTTGGTGGTTCAAACCCACCAGCCTCTCTGAGGGAGAAAGATGAGGCAGTCTGCCCCTGGAAAGCTTCACAGCCTGAGCAACCCACAAAAGCAGTTCTACTCTGTCTTACAGGGTTGCTCTTAAGTCGGGATGGGCTCGATGGCAGTGGGTTTTTAGGACCGGGCATGGCTGCTCAACTTTGTGTGCCCAGAGTGGAGCAAGAACCCGGTGGAGGTGAGACTTGGCACTCAAAATACTGGAGCAGGATGATGTGAGTGGCTTTTTCTCGCTCGGGGCACAGGGGCAGTCTCAGGGACGTTGTAAAGGGAGTTCGGACGTCAGCATAGGCTTCTGGACAATGTGCACATCTCTCTCGAATTCTCCTTGGCAGAAGTTGGTCAGGCTCGGGGACTGTACAGAGGGGGCAGAAGTGCCAAGTGTCCTGATTGCACAGGCTTGGTCTTGCTGACCAGGAAAGGCCATTTATAACCCTCTGACCTACTCCTTATGTAACCACCAGGCATTGCCTGCCCACCCAGCCGGAGGCCACAGGCTGGCCCACGGGGAAGCCACTTTCAGGACTGAAGGTTTTTCCCAGGAGGCAGCAGGAGAATTTGAGCAGAGAGAGGGGCACTGTGCCCCCCTCCCCAGTTCCCCTCACCCCCTGCCTTGCTGGTAGGCATGACCCAGAGGGGCAGGCATCCTGTAGGCCTGGGTTTGAATCTCAGCTGTGCCACTTAACCTTCCTCGTCCTTGTCTTCAGAGCTCACGCCACGCCACGCCATGCCATGCCAAGCACGGCTCTAGTCGCTTGACATACGGGAACTCCACAGCCGCCCGTGGGTGGTAGTGGCAGTGGTGGCAGTGGTGGCAAACCCTGCCTTGCGCTGACTTCCTGCCCAGCAGGACAAAGCGCTGCCGGCCCTGCGCCATTCCCCAGGCTTGGTGGCAGATGAGACCATTGAGATCTGTGAACTGATTTTCAGAAGGGGCTCAGCGGACCTTTTCCTCTAGTGGATCATTAGTCCATTTCATGGGCAGGAAAACTGAGTCTTAGAGCAACCATATAACTTGCCCAGGACCGCATGGCTGGAAGGTGGCAGAACCTAGGTCAGACCACAGGCTGCCTGGGTTCACAGTCTGGGCTCTGAACCCCCTGGGCAGGCCGCTCCTGTCTTCTCGAGCCTGGGGAAGATTTCAGCTGTGTGAATCGTGGCTTCCTTTCATGTGCGGGGCTCATGGTCTCTGCCCCGCGGGGCAGAGGTAGGGACGTCAGAAAAGCCAGTTCTCTCCGCCCTGGCACTGGTTCTTAGCATCTTTTCAGTCTTGGTTTTTATTTTAACTTCTCAGAGGAGTAGATGGCCCCCTTTCTCTGAGAACACGCCGACAAGTGCACGCCCACTCCTCATTTACCAGCGTGGCGAGATTTCGAAGACAGGTCCTGATGCATGTGCCGTATGCAGCAGAGAGGGCGACCTCCTTGGGTCACAAAACAGAGTTGACTGCGTCGTTGCCTAAGTGCCCCACTGCGCGACTCCGGGTCCAGCCCAGGTGACAAATGGTTCTAACCACCACAAGCTAGTGTTGCACTTTGTTGCACAAGCGAGTGGTTCCTCTGTGTTTGCACTTCGGAGCTCACAGATGAGGAGTAAGTGTTTAAGTCCACAGGCCTTTGCACATAACCTCAGGGACGCACAGACCCTTGGGTCCCTAGGTGATGGCCCATGACAAATCACCTGAGCCATGTGCCCGTGTGTATGCATTCAGACTAGATCCACTGCCTCCCTGGGTGGTGCAGATGGCTCACACTCAGTGACCCATTGAGAGATTGGTGGTTTGCACCCACTCAGCACCTTGTAAGGAAGGCCTGGTTGGTGTACTTTCTTTTCACTGAGTTATAATTCACATGCAGTTCAGTGGCTCAGTTGCATCAAGGACTGTGAATGTTACTGCCCCGTTTCCCTCTCCCTCCCCGCTCCTGTCCCCAGGTATCCCTCAGTCCTGTTACGATCTTCCCAGTTTACCTGCACAGCTCACTCTGCAAGACCAGGGCAGTCAAGCAAGGACCATCAACTGTGGCCATCCAAAACTGACCGAGCCCGCACTCTAATCGAAAGCAGGGCATATTAAAAGTTTAGAATGAAGTCACATTGGGTCCGTAGGGAGATCAAACTTCAAGATGTTACAGTCCGACCTGAGTACAGTTGCCCAGATCCCATTTACAGTCGCTCGCCTGATTTGGGGCTATCGTGGTTTCTAGCCAGCGTGCATCAGGGCTTCGCTGGAGGCCCGTCCGTGCAGCGACGCTGTGAATGGAGTTTGCCTGTCATGACCCGCTGTCGTTTTCCACAGTTTGGGTAGTTAGGACTTGGACACTGGTTCCGTTCCCTTTTCCAGGGCTGGCTCTTCTTACTTTGCCGGTCTGCTTCTGAAAAAGCAGTCCGTTAACCCTCCAGAGCACCCATGGGGTCGCCATGAGGCAGACTGGTGTCAGAGCAGATGAGCCAGGCTCTGCTGCCGCGGCAAACACACCACATCCTGGTGGCTGAAAGCAGCAGAGCTTTATGCCTTGTCCGTATTACGAGCCGACCATGGGCTGGCCCGGGCGTGCTCCTGGCCAGCCTCACTCCAGGATCCAGACCGACGGAGCGGCATCTCTCTGGAATGTTGCTGCTTGCTGGGGCAGGGAGAAGCTCACTCAGGCAGGCCTGGAAGGCCAAGGGCCATCGATATCTAGTGGACAGGACGAGCACCTATTAGCACAGGCCACCTACGGGCGTCAGCGACCCAGACCCAACAGCTGCTGTCGTTAGGTCCCTTCCAACCCGCCGCAGCCCTGTGGGACAGAGCAGAACTGCCCGAGGCTTTTGGAAGCCACCGGCCCCACCTTTCTCCAGTGCAGACCCTGGCGAGTTCTACTGCTGATCTCAGGTGAGCAGCTGAGCGCTTAACCACTGCACCGCCAGGGCTCCTTACAGATGCCCCCAGAATCATAATCCACTCTAATGTGTTATTCAGCATATCACGGCCCAATAAGGAGACCCTGTGCTCAGTAGGCTGTGCTTCTGGCTGTCTTTCCTGGTGAGAGGCTGGCCCTCCTGGTTTCATCCCCGGATTGGCGGGCAGCATTCTCAAGTTCCCTTCGACGAGGGGCTGGCAGCGCCCGAGACCAGGGCTGCCCTGGGTGGGTGTTTCTTCCTGGGCTCCCAGTCGGGCCATTTCTGTGGAGGAGTAGCCAGGTCCGATGGCCCCCTGGATGACCTTGGCTTCAGCTCCTGACCATAGGCTCCTCTGACACCCCCACCTCCCCCCCGCTTAGGGATTTGCTTCTCCTCCATTTGAGCTCAGCTGTGTGTTTGTAACGGGGTTGGTTCTGTTTGGGGGACATTTTCGGACACGAAGGAACGGTACTAGCTTTTCCCGAGAGGCCACAAGACTGCCCTTGTTCCTAGTATGGGGCTGTGTGGGGTGGGGTGAGGTGGCAGGCTCGGAGGGGGTGGGGAGGCACTTTCTAAGGAGAACCGGTAACATTCAAGTCAGGGCTTTGCTGACCTGACTCGAACCCCCAGCAATAGTAAATGAACAGGAAGGATCCATCTGCTGGCTTACACAGCCCCCTCCCAGTGGTCGCTCACTCGCCTCCCATGGCCCGCAGAAGGGAAGCCCATCCCTGCCCGGTTACAGAAGAGGACGTGGCGATGTGGCTCTGCTAAGGGACTTGTCCACGTCACCGAGGGGCACACCAGGGGCAGATCCTGTGCTCGCCCCCTGT